CGGTCAGACAGTCAGACGGTCAGACGGCGGGCCTGCCCGCTCCCCCGCCCCCCGCCCGGCCTCTCACCGGTGAGCCTGCCCCAGGTGCGGTTGCTGTCGCGGTCCCGCAGCGCCTGCCTCTCGGACACGGCCCTCTTGATCTCGTCCAGCACCAGGTTGAGCTCCTTGGAGCGCCTGAGGCTCTCCTGCTCGGCGGCGTGCAGCCGGTCGCGCAGGGCCAGGAACTCCCGCTGGTACACGTCCACCACATCACCTGTGGGTGGTCCGCAGGCGGTCACCAGGGGTGGCCAGAGCTGACCCACAGCCTTTGGAGGGTGCCAGCGCATACACCTGCATGCCCATCTGTGCCACAGACCATCTGCATCTACTGTCGTGTCTGCCACATGGGAGTTTTCGGGGGTTGCCCAGGGTCGCTTTGAAGTCACACTGACACACCTGGGGGAGAAGCCTCCACTGGGGAGTAGCACTCTCCAGTACTCTCTCCTGCCCCCAGGCATTTTCTCCTTTGAGGAGGTATCTGAAGTGGGAGGGCTGCATCTACTCCTGCATCTACTACTGCCAGCAGGTGGGACACCCAAAGGTCCCATCCAGGCCACAAAGACCCAGCCCTTCCTCAAGGGGTTTCTTAGCACGAGCCACACCTGGATTCCCTCAGTCTCACACCAGCCGCAGGTCTGGCTGCTGCTCCAGCCCCCAGCGCTCAAAGGAGCAAATGATGTTGAGAAACTAGTCCAGAGTCATCAGTGAGCCAGCAGCAGAGAGGGGCCATGTCTGATGCGCTGAGGCCTGCTTCTTGGGAGACCTGTGTCAGAACCTCCAGCAAGACCCATTTTGGGTGTTGAGGTGCAGGGTGAGAAGCACAGAGGTGGGGCTGCCTGACAGTACAGAGGAATCCCTAGGGTGCCCCTACCTGGCTCCACTGGTTGGGCAGGGACCAGTGAGCAAGTATGAGACAAACAACATCCCTACCTGTGGCTGGCACAGCAGGTCCTGGAGGGCTGTGCACACCAGGCTTTCTGGTCTCACCAGTGCCACCTTCATTTGCAATCACCCACAACTCCTTGTCCTTGCCTACGGGCCATGCTCCACACACATGCTGTCCTCTCTTCTGCCTGGGACCCCTTTCCTCCTCTGGGTCCAATGAACACCATGTGGCCTTCAAGGCCTGGTTTCAAAGTCTCCAAGTGCAGGAATCCTCTCCCACCCCCAGGCAGCTCTTCTACCCCTCCATCCCTGGTGGTGTCACTCCCCATAGCTGTGTGCACCAGAGGTCACAGCCAAGGCAAAGTTCAATCATCTCATGCCCTAGATGGTTTGGCTCAGTGGATAGAGCGTTGGCCTGTGGACTGAAGGGTCCCAGGTTTAATTCTGGTCAAGGGCACATGCCCGGGTTTTGGGCTCAATCCCCAGTAGGGGACCTGCAGGCGGCAGCTGATCAATGATTCTCTCTCATCATTGATGTTTCCATCTCTCTCTCCCTCTCCCGTCCTCTCTGAAATCAACAAAAATATATTTTTACAAATTTCAGTCATCTCAGGACACGACTACTTCTGGAGCACTCCCTCCCCAGCTGGCCCCAACCTCCACCGCCCTGCCCTGCGGTGGGGAGGGCAGAGGTTGTATCAGGTTACCTTTTCTGCACTGGGTTCCAAGGCTGGGTTACCCTGGAAACCTGAACCCTTGAACAAGGAGCTGCTGGCCCAGCAGGAGGCAGTTCAGAGTCACCTGGGCATAGCAGGTGGCCTTCCTCCTGCTGAGTCCCTGCCACCTACCTGTTGGCCCCTGCGGCCCACCCCCGTGCAGTGGGGCCCTTTGTGAAGTAGAGGGATGTGAGGAGGCCTCACCCACTCTGACTGCTGCCTCTGCCACCCACTCCCCCTCCCTTTCTCTAATCTTTAAGTAGGCTGAGCTCTGTCCAACCTTACTTAGCCTGCCCCTGGCGGACAGGCTGGGTAGCTAGCGGTGGGCACTGTTGCCCTGAATCACCGACTACCAAGGCCTGGCACAGCCTGCTCCATACCATGCTGCCCTTCCCAGGGGCCTCCCTCTGTCCAGGTCCTGAGCTTCCTCCCTTTACTAAAAGGAGATGGGCCGTGGGGTCCCTGGGCCTGGTTCCTGTCCACACAGACCCTCTTATTATTTCCCTGAACACTGACCTTGTCCCTCAGCAGCCCGCCTGTGGTCCCCCTGCACCCTGTCCGTGGTCCCTCAGCACGCTGCCCGTGTCCCTCAGCACGCTGCCCGTGTCCCTCAGTACGCTGCCCGTGTCCCTCAGCACCCTCCCCGTGGTCCCTCAGCAGCCCACCCGTGGTCCCTCTGCACCCTGCCCGTGGTCCCTCTGCACCCTGCCCGTGGTCCCTCAGCACCCTGCCCGTGGTCCCTCTGCACCCTGCCCGTGGTCCCTCTGCACCCTGCCCGTGGTCCCTCTGCACCCTGCCCGTGTCCCTCAGCAGCCCGTCCGTGGTCCCTCAGCACCCTGTCCGAGGTCCCTCAGCACCCTGCCCGTGGTCCCCCTGCACCCTGCCCGTGGTCCCCCAGCAGCCTGCCCGTGTCCCTCAGCAGCCTGCCCCTGCCCTGCCTGTTGCCCGCAAGGTCCCCAGCTTCTCGCTTGTGGGCCCAATCTGTCCTCGCCTGTCAAAGCCAGAAGCTCAAGCTCTGTGACTGCCTGTCCAGGTGCTGAGCCTGAGGCCAGAGTTCTGCCAGGCCCTCCTGCACCCGACAACCTGCAAGGGCGGGGTGGGTGGACTGAAGTGGTGAGTGGGCTGGGAAGGCAGCTCAAGTGATGGAAAGGGCAAAGGTCTGGGAGCCCTGGTTTCTCCTTCTATCCATACCTTCTTACCCCAGAGAGATGGGGTGGGGGTGGGGGGGCCTGGCCCCAGGGAAGGACTGCAGCTGTGGCCATACTATTGGAGGTTTTCCCACCGGAAGGCAGAGTAATCGGGACACCTGAGGCCCATGACCACAGCTTCCCTGTGGTCGCCTCTTGGCTGAAGGCACAGACCTGCGCCCATGCTGAGGGAGGGGAAACAGGCTCAGGGGCCTGGGCAGGTCTGTTGTTCACCAGCAGGTGGGGCCGGGGGGTGGAGGGGGCAGCGGTTCACTTCCCCTCCGGCACTCGTACCCATACTCCCAGTCGGGAAGGGCCCCCTGCTGAAGCTCAGGGTGCCGGGAAGCCGGGAAGCCGGCCCTGGGCTGCTGTCCTCCCTGGGGAGAGGCTTTCAGCAGATATTTGGCCGAGGGCTCCAGGCTGAGCGCTCGCAGCGCCGGTGCACAAATGTGGTCAAGGCTCTGGGATGTGAAACCCATATCTGGGGCCCTTCCTGCCAAGGCCTCCATGTCCTTCCTGGCCCTGGGCTTTCGGGATGCCATCTTCTCCTGCTGCCTCCTTCTTCTCTGGCTACCTGCCCGCCTCCTCCCTTCCCTACAGACCCAGTTCCCTGTCCTCCCCTAAGCATCAGTGCCTGGGCCAGCCCTATCCTGAGCTCCCCACTTGCTGCAAACTGGGAGCCAGGAGCCAGTCTGGCCTCAGCCTGGCTTAGTCTGGCTTCTCCACAGGCCAATAGCATTGTCTACCTGTCAGAATAAGAAGGGGTCACAGAAGAGCTCAGATTCAGGCTTCTCGAGGCCTCTGAAGATCTGGCCCTACTGGGCCCCCGGAAACAGTGACAGCTCTCGACCAGCAAGGCCCAGGTCACACCCTCATCAGGCTCCTTGGCCTCCGCGCCCCAGGGTGGAGGATCCCCGCATCTGAGCTCCACAATTCTTTGGCCGAGGGTGCTCTCATTCTCCCCGGGGCCCTGGAGTGCCAGTCTCCTCGATGCCCCTCAGGGAGTGTGAGCCCTAAATGGAGCCACTGGAATCTCCCCCTCTGCTGCTCCGGACACTGGTGGGGCTTGCGCTATGGCCCCTGACATCAGGCTGAGGGCCTGTGGCCGTGCAGGAGGCACACAGAAACGGTACCCTGGCCAGGACAGGTATCCGAGCTCATCACTCCACCCGCAGTCGGACAAAGGTGCCCCAACCCATCAGGTATAGCCCCTCCAGGGCCTCCATGCCAGTCTGCTTACATGGCCACCCTTCCAAGGGTCCAACTGCCATTCCCAAGGTGACACCCCCCCCACCCCCACCCCGTGACGAGACTGCCCAGCCACGCTCTCCCCAGGTGACACACCCCACTCGAGACCTGGAGAGAAGCTCAGTCCTCCCTGTGTCCAGCCCCAGGGGTGTCCCCTCAGGCCCTGGCCTCCACCCACAGGAGGACTGCAGGAGGCCAGGCAGGCAGGGGCAGGTGGGAAGGGCTGCTGGGGCCGAGGGTCAGGAAGGCTAGCTCCTCCCCAGCCTCAGGCTGTGTGGCTGGGGGAACAGGGAAGCAGGAAGTGGAGGGAGCAGAGGTTCGGTTGACCTCAGCCGGATCCGAAGCCTCCGCAGGAAGGCCAGGAGGCAGGAAGGAAGCCGCTTTTTCCTGGTGGCTCCTGCGCTGCAGGCTGGATGGACCAGGGCTTGCGGTCCATCCAGCCCCTGCCATCTCCAGCCAGTACTGGAGCCCGCCTCCCCCCACCTCCTACTCTCAAGGTGCCAGCCAGACCCAGAGGGCCACGGTGGTGGGTGGGCCAGTCTGACCGAACTTGGGGGTGGGGGGGGGACCACACCAAGTGAGTTCATGGGCAGCTGGGGCCGGGCTGGCTGCTCATGAG